CTCTCTCTCTCTCTCTCTCTGTGTGTGTGTCAACCTGAATGCTGGGCCGGGATCCAGGGTTCTGTTGAGTTGCGGAGATATCAGCCACGTCGCGGAGATGCGAACGACTGATCGCTCCGGTTATCGAGTGAAATCGTGGGGCTAAGCCTGCCCGCTTCGCCCGGATCCTGCGTCGCTCAGCATGGAGGGGGAGCGGGAAGAGGTGGGCGCGTGGTCCCGCGCATACACGTGGCATTAAGGGCGAAAAAGGGCTCGGGGAAGGGAGGAAGGACCAACACACTCATGCACTCATGCAAACGGTCGGCACCCAGCAATCCCTCTCATCTTGCCTGGAAGAGCGCACACACACATACCCATAAAGCCCTCCTGGACAACGAGACATTCAACATCCATAGACTCTGATACCCCAGCATGCATACAATCAAATACCCATACATCGGGACCTTGCACACATCACATTGGGACAAAGCATCAATGAAGATAAAAGCGGGTTCCTTAGTATACATAATTTCTCACACGACTGGCGGCCCTGGGCACAGCCCCCAATCCGTTAGAACCACCGACAACTATAGCCACAAGGCCTGCTGCTATCGACGTCCAATCTCCACCACCGCTCAGTCCCTCCGGCTGTCTTACCCCAAATCTATCGCTAAACCCGCCCCACGTCGTCACTCCGCACGTCACTCGGCCTCGTCAAGCCTGTTCGACGCCGCGGACCTTGCGCATAGCTCGCGCAGCATTGCAGCCGAGATCAAAGAGAGGGAGAGGAAGGGGTTGCAAGAATTTATAGCGCAGAAGGCGGCGGAGAGCCAGCGCGAGGTGCGGGCAGCCTGGGGTGTAGACGAGCAGGGTAGAAGAAGGGTTGGGGTTCCAGATGCATCGAAGGAGGTGAGTCGAACGATCTGTGTGATTGGGGTGGTTGTTCAAGTGGTGCGCGCCTTCCGCTCTCACCACATTGATCCGACCATCCCAATCACACAGCCAATTGTTCGCGATGATGGGCAAGGAGAGGATCGGACTTCGCTCGAGGGAAGACGAAAAGGCATGCAAGAAGGGAATGCGCGGCAAGAAGGGAAGATGGCCCGGGGATGCAAAGCGGGCGCGCAAAAATTCGAAATTCCTACCCATACTAATTCCTAACTGTTTCTTGGATTTCTCAGCACGGCTGCTAACCGCCCACGCGAGAAAGATATCTGGGGCAGTCCCGAAAAGGAAAAATAAGTTTCCGTTCCGTCCTTCCTCTCTGTTCAAGAAAAAAAGGGAAGAAAAACGGGAAGCCGCAGAGTACGGATGCTGGCTTATCGCAAGCCCACCCGACTCCATAGCCGTGTAACCGAGCTACGCATGGATCACATGCACAGGTGCATGGCAACCACAAAAGACAAGGATGGGCGCGGAAGCCCGTCGATGGTAAAACTTAACGACAACAAAAAATGCACTGTCTGCATGGGTATGCTCTCTGTAGGGACGTAGACTCACTGGGGCCATGCAGTACGAGCTTCTGAGGTACGTGACTATATGCACGACCACATTCGTGGCACACAACAGCAGGTTCCACACACGGCTCGGGCGGCATTCACCGACCTGAAACTGGCAGCCCCAGGCCCGTGTCCCCGCACAACTTCATCCCCACCTGGCGTCCCACCACAGCGCGCAGACCCCGTGTTGCCATCTCAACCTGGCCGCCATCCCTGCGCCCCCCGAACCTTTTCAAATTTGAATTTCGGTGTATGCATCCTTCCCGCTCGGCGAAGGCCAACAGACAAAAAACGGCCTTCCGTTCGACACGACCTCCCCGCAGCCTTCCTCCCGTTTGGATCACACCGTTGTCCGCTGGTTCATTTCTCTTCCTGACTCCGCTGGCGACGGAAGCGGTCCCCAAGGGCTAGCCTTCCTGGTGGGCAGTTTTTCCCCGTGGAGACACATAGGCCAAGACATGGGCGCGCGGGTGGAAATGCCCTCGCGTACTCTTCCAGGCCACTTTCTTCGACCTGTGGGGTCCGCGGAACTGCTTCGTGGTCGCTGGCGGCAAGAACCGCCAGCCTGTGGGCCCCCAGGCTTACATGGTAGGTCCCAGAGAGGGCCTCAGGGGTGGACGTGAATTGGACATCCACAGGAATGGAATCACCACCTATCTGAACGCAAGGCGTGGCCCCTCACTTTCCCGTTCGGGAAAACGACTGAAACATTTCCTATTTCCGTAAACGGGAGCGACGGGGCCTTGCGGTCCCAGTGGGACACCACACCTTGCGGTCCCAGTGGGGTCCCATGGTCCTTCGAAGGTCCGTTCGCGGTGTGGACAGGAGCCTGTATGTGCGGCTCCCCATTTTGCTTTGCCGCAGTGCTGTGGGGTCCACCCCTAAGCCATCTATCTCAGCTATCAAGACAGGAGCCTGTATGTGCGGCTCCCCATTTTGCTTTGCCGCAGTGCTGTGGGGTCCACCCCTAAGCCATCTATCTCAGCTATCAAGACNTATCAAGACAGGAGCCTGTATGTGCGGCTCCCCATTTTGCTTTGCCGCAGTGCTGTGGGGTCCACCCCTAAGCCATCTATCTCAGCTATCAAGACCGAAGCTGAGGACATGCCGCACGTTGGAATCACGTGCACCCATCTATCTCAGCAATCAAGGCGGAGGCCGAGGACATGCTACAGGTTGGAATGCCGTGGTGGTACCAGCTGTTTCTCAAGGGCTGAGGACATGCCTCAAGCCAGCTGTAGTGAACGGCAGGCTGTCGAAGGGCATAAAGGGAAGGCCGACTTCGTGGGGCTGGGGGTTAGCAAGGCGAACCGCAACAGGCGCAGTTTAAGGCGGAAAAGGCAGGAGCTTGGCGGGAAGGGATAGGAGAGAGAGGACGAGAAATCAGCAGCTGCAGCAGCAATGGATCAACCTGGGCCCATTGGCACTAGTACCTGTCCCAATGATGATGACGATGGCTCAGTGGGACTGGATTTCCGCACCTCGTTCCAGGGAAGCGTGGTTGATGAATTTCATATCATCCCCCTCCAGCTCGCTTACCTGGACATGAACCCAGCTGAAGATTGCTGGCATGAGTTCATGAAGGTGGCGGACCGTCTCCAGCAGTTTATCTCCTTAAGAGGGGCGCTTTCTCTGCTGAAGAAGAGGAAGTACCTAACGTTTGCCTGCGAGTTTGACATGTATTGCTATTTCAACCACGAGATGGCCCTTATGCTCGGTCCTATGACTTCTGATGTCGAGACGGACACCCGGCATCGTGATCTCGCCTATGACTTCTTGGAAACCTCCTGGTGCCCGCCATCGCCAATCGGCTATGGAGGTCGGAGTGACACGTTGGCTAAGAAGAAGCATGAGGACGATGATGGTGATCATAATGGAGCTTGTGCTTCAGGCACCGAAAGGGATGAGGACGGCATAGGGAGCAACGATGATCACAAAGGCGATGGTGCTACAGGAGCGGAGAGTGAAGACGGGATATAGAGCGATGACGGGCTATCGAGCAGCGATGAAGACGACGACGATGCCGATTCGGTGGTCATAAGGAGCGAGTTTGTCCGACAGATGGGCGCATTTGCGCTGAGCAAGTACTCCTCCTCCTCGTGTTTCCGTCGGTTCGGGGTAGGGTCGGTTCAGTGCGGGGATGTCGATGATGATGATGATGGGTCCCTTGCCACGATGCTGTACAGGTTTGCGAGCCCCCTCCAACAGTTTGGAGAGGGAATCGGGAATGCGGTCAAGATGATCGACTTCGATGTCTTCGGATCGGACGGCAAGTGTTTCGGCTTGCGCATCTTGGTCAGGGACACAGCTTACGCCTTCGGGGGCTTTCGTGCAAGCATCAAGGATCGCAAGGGAGTGGGGACCACCACCATCGCCACAGCCAGGCGGGCAAATGCCCTGGACCAAACAACGGTCGATCTGGTCGAAGGAACAGAGATCGACAGACAGTACAAGCCGCATGGAAACCTCCCTCTCGTGGCACCGAATGCAGCGGCCACCACTGCGAGCGGTTTGAATGTCCACTTTGATGATTCTCCATTCGCTCCTCGCATTCAGCAGGTAAGGGATCATCTGGCGATGCAGCCATTCTTGGCCGCTCGATTGGAGATTGCAAAGATTATACGAGTCGGCATTTACTTGAGTTATCTCCCTCAATCGGGCTCCGATTTCGATGCTCGCGTCAGAAGGTACCGGCTTCGTCTGTCCTCACTGCGAGAAGCCAAGGAGATCAGTTACAGGCACTTCATGCGCGTCTTCAAGGGATCTATGTGGGAAGGACTGCCCGTGGAGCTGGTAAAGCGAATCATCGACTTTCTACCCCCAACGCCGAAGTTCATGCTCCGACCCACTTAGGGTATGTGTAGGGGAGAGCAGGGCAGGGAGGCGGTGTTTTGTGGTGGTCCCCACCAAAGGAGAAGAGATTTTGATGTAGTTTATTAAATTGATAAATTTGTAAAATGTCAAAATCAATACAATCAATGTATAAAAACAAAAAATAGGAATGGATGTTCATTGATTCTTTGTATTTTATTCATAAAGAATGGAAAGCTTGACTTATAGAATTATCCTTTTTTGATTGATATACCAGCTTGATTGAAAATAGTGAATTATACCTTAAAAAACAATAAGTTCTCCTTGCACAAGTCGCTGTGGCAGCGCTTCCGCATGGCTCACGCAGGAATGAATGAATGGGTGCTGCCTCTTGATTTATACTTCAGAAACTCGTTGGTCTGCCCTTTGCCATCTGCCCTTGGTGCTCATAGTCCCCCTGTGGTACTTGCTGGACCAGACTAGGACTGACTGGACCTTCCGCTGACTGACTGTGGACTCACCGCCATCCTGCCGACGTTGTACTGCTGTTGCACTGCGGTTTAGTCCACCACTTGCCTCGCCACTKGACCACTTGCCCACTTGCCTATCTTCTAGAAGGTCTACAGCTAAGCTTCCAGAACTCACTAAGACTCCTACRCTATAGACCTACAGATCGAACCCCTGCTGTCTATGGACCTACGACAGGTCTATCAACTGCCTACGAATACACAGGTCACAGGTTCAATTCTCGGGGTCTACATAGATACTGTACATGGGTAGGGTGAGGCCTAGGGATCGAATTCTGGGTACTGCATCCGCTACTGCTAAAAGGTAAAAAACATTTCATATTCTTCTTTCTTTTGTTTGAGAGCGGCGGAATAGAGAATGCAATTCGGGTCTAGCGTAGCCAGTTAGCAGCCGTGCCAAGAAATTCAAGAAACAGTTGGGACTAAGCGGTAGTAGGAATTTTGAATTTTTGAGCGCGTGCCGGTTTTCGAAATTTTGTGCACCTCGTAAACCTGTTCTCCCGCTCTGCATCCCCGCGCCATCTTCCGTTCTTGCTGTGCATCTCCCTCCTGCATGTCCCTTCGTCTTCCCTGTAAGCGAAGTCTGATCCCCTCCTTTTCCTTTCTTGGCTGTCTGATTGGGATGGTCGGGGCAATGTGGTGGTCTCGGGAAGCCCACCACTTGATTGCTTGATTGCTTGATTGCTTGCTTTCTTGCTTGCTTGCTTGATTGATTGATTGATTGATTGATTGATTGATTGAACTTGATTGAGTGATCGAACTTGATGGATAGATGGATGGTGCTATGTGATAGTGAGTTGGGCTGTTTGGCGTCGTCTTCTTCTGTCCACAGATCTTGGTTACAACAGTGCGGTACTCTGCTCGCACCTGCATATGAACACGTGATCTGTCTCCGCGCTGCGCTGACTTTGTCCTCTCCGCAGCAATGGACGATGTGAGGTGATAGTGAGTTCCCCGAGTTTGGCGTCGGCTTCTCGTCTTCACGTTTTTTGTTCGTTATAGCTGTTTATGTACGGTCCACAACGCCATGGCTCTTTTCTGGAATTGCTATGTACTACCTTCTTCCCCCGAATACAACGTACGGTCATTATATCTGCATTTGATGCATCTTTCAGTCTAGATACCGCTAGAGTGACCGTGCGTTGTATTCGGAAAAAGAAGGTAGCAAACATGACAGCACAGCGGACGGGCCAGGAGTTGAACTCGTGATCTCTCTCTCTGTGTACCTGAGGCGGGTCCGCTGTGCTGTCACGTTCGGTAATAAATGGCAAGTCCGAAAAAAAACCATGGCTTTGCAGGACCAAATATATGGTGGACGTCAACAAAAACAAAACATGGCGTTGGGGGAGTGTTTCGTCGGGGGGCTTTCACGGGCTCATCCCAGTGTATATAGTGAGTGCTCCCGCAGAGTCACACGACGATTGAGAAAAAATAAGGAAATGCAATTGCAAAAATGCCCTCTTCGTTACCTGTACGTGATTAAGATCCCTATCCATTTTCACTCTTTTTGCCCTCGCTTCCTTCTTGTGTTTTTTTGTTGCCCCCCCAAAGAATTTGGACCCTTTCTCGATATGTGCGCGTGTCATCCTTGCACAGGGGCCATCATGATTCTGCAAATCTTCTACTGTATCTTCCTTTTTTTTTTTTTTTTTTTTTTTTTTTTTTTTTTTAAGACCAATAGATGATTTCTGGATTTATCCCACGTGTCATTCATCCTTGTGCAGGCGCCATGGTAATCTTCTTTGTATCGTTGCAGTTCTTACGGATGTCCCGAAGTGGTATCGTTCCATTTTTATTCTATTTATTTATTTTTTTTTAAAGAAAAAAGAACAGCAATATTTCAATCCTTCAAATTTCAACGGATGTCGCGAAGGACCTTTTTGCCCTCGATTCCTCTTTTTGATGCCTCTGCCTTTTCTGCTGCTGCTTTCAAGACATGAACTTTTGTATTATTATAATTATTTTTTATTTTTATTTTACTTTTTTTTTTTTTTTTTTGGGATACAGTCTTTCTTTTTCTTCTACAAGTGGTGTGTTTAAAGATCGATACAGTCGAGAGACATGCTTGCCACTATCTTCCGATGAGGCCAGCCTGTATCAGGCAATCGCCTTCCCCCGAGCACAACGCACCCTGATTCTGAATGCATACAAGCCATCTTTCCAGTCCGATGCAGTCGTCCATTGTGTGCGGGGGAAGACGGCAAACTCGTCTTCCCCGAAAGGAACACACCCGCCATGATAGCCATTGCTGGGGCGCAGCTTTCAGTCTACATGCTGAGATAATGAGCGTGCGTTCTATTTGCGGGAAGACTTTAGTAGTCGCATCGTTGACTGTCAACGCTTTTTCTCCACTGATTGAGGACATGAAGTTTAAAAAAAAAAAAAAAAAAAAAAGGATGCCATAATTCCTAGCGCTACGGCAGTCTTGACCCAATACCGCCACAATCAGGGCATACGCACATTGCGACCCCAAATCCGCAAAATATGCGGATTTGGGAAGGGCCGATTTGAGGTTTTGGGCATGGTTCACGTCACACGGCTGTACCTTTTCATATGGGACAAGGTCGAGGGAGTCTGGAAAAATGGGGATTGGCTACTTGGCTGGTCACACTCCGCCATCCACAAATTGTGCAAGAACTTTTGTGAACCAGTTTTTGCCAATTTTTGAAGAAAATGCGAAAAAATAAATAGAGCATTTGCAGTCACCTCCAGAGCTGACCGCAACTTCCATTGGCTCGCAGCTACACAGGCCGCTGACAAATGGGCACACAAATAGTACATTTAGGACTTTGGCAAATCTCTGCGAACGGCCCTCTACCCTTTTTTGGGGGGGATTGGGGATTATAGGTTCCAAGTGTGGGTATGCCCTCATTGGGTATAACCAGTCCGAGAATCAAACACACAACCTAGGGGCTGCCAGGCAGATACCTAACGGATAATTGAACCCTGATCTAGCCCGGTTGGCTAAAATCCATTTTGAATTCTCTTTTTGCGGGGCAAATACATTGATGTCAGTATTGAGTACAGAATGAGCACAAAAAACAGGTGCAGGCAACAAAAACAAGGGGCCGAGTTAGAACAAGCAATGAAAGTACCAATGGCCCTGGTGCCCGGGGGGCTTGTCCCACTATGGTTCGGTTTTGTTTTGTTTGTCAGTGTGTGACATCGGTGCCAACCGTAGATCGTAATTCCATCGCTCGGTCAGGAATTGCGAAGGTAGTTGGGGTATTTTTTTAATCGCATGCACGGCCTAGACGCCATCTGTCATTGGCAGGCTATTTGTTTTATGAATCGGCAGGGCGGGCAGCAGGGTTCTGGTTTCTTGCATGCTATGGAGTACTATGCAAGAAAGGAGAACCCCGTCTCTGTACGTCGGAGGCTCCTGATCAATAAAATGAAAAGAATACACACACACACACACACACACACACACACACACACACGATCAGTTTTTTGGTATGTTTGTTTTTCTGCCTTTCTAAGTATTTTTACTTACCCAACTGAGCACCCTTAAGTAGTGCCAAACAGTCGGTGGTTCTTCGTCTGGAGTGCCTACTGCACTCTGAGGAGGGCCGCCCGGTTCGGGGTGTCTATGTTGCCTGTGCTTGATGACGGATGCTCGTCAGAGTGTCTTCCTGACTCAGTGGGTGGTGGGAACCAACAGTCTGCGGGGTTCAATTGTGATGTGAGTAGGTCATGTGCCCCTTTGCTCCGTGTTGGATGTGTGGTCGGCCTCGTCTGCGCTCCACCGCTGCCCTGCTGCCTGTCCCGCTTGCTTCGCATGTGGTTCTTTGCAGGTTGATGTGTTCCCTGTGTGGTTTGCCCGTGTTGTTGGTGTTGCCTTGCGCTTCGCTGCTCCGCTGCTTTGCTGCCCTTCCACTGGCCCTGCCTTCCGTGTTTGCTGCTTGTGGGTCTTGTTGGACGGTTGCCTTGTTGCTGGTGCCTGGTGCTTCGCTCCACAGTTGCCGAGCTACGGGTCTGCTTGCCCTGTCGTCCCTTGCAGTGTGGTTACCTTGCTTGTGTTGCCTTGTTCATCGCTGCACGGTTGCCGCGCTGCATGTCCTGCATGCCATGTCGTTCCTTGCAGCCGTTTTCGGTGTTGTGCAGCCGTGTTGCCTCTACTATGTTGCCTTGTGCTCCACAGGGTTGCTGCCGGCTGCTATGTTCCGCTGGGGGACAATCTGCCTTCAACAGGGGTCAAAGGATTCATGACCCAAACCATCAAATACGGACATTCCGCAGATTGTTGAGGGTTCAGCCTCCTGACGAGTCGGTGCAACTCCGACGAAACAATCTTGTCATCATCAGTTGTTATTTTTTTCAGTTTTCTTTGTTTTGGTGCTTGCCTTGTGTGGTGGTTGTTGCAGTTTCCCTGCCTTATGTGCTTGTGTTTTTTGCCCTCGCGCCTCCCCCGTGCCCTCTAACCTTTATGTTGTCTTAAATCCTTTTGTTTTCCCCATGTGCCCGTTGTGCCTTGTCATGATGTCATCCAACAGCTGGTTGCCTCTCTGGCCCTCGACATTGTCGACAACACATAAGGCAGGGAAACGACAATAACCAGCGGACAAGGCAAGTACCGAAACCAAGAAAACTGGAAAAAAGAAAAAGAAGAACTGATGATTATA